TTTGTTCCCTCTCTAATTTTAATTTTTCTAGTAGTGTATCCTCGGATGTCACCTTTAAGACTTGTTCCTCTCCATTTCTCTTGTGAAACTTCTGCCCGTGTACAATCAATGAACTTTGCAATTCATCAACTGATAGTTGATCTATATCCTTAAATTCTTCAATAGAATATACTATGTAGTTGATCTATATCCTTAAATTCTTCAATAGAATATACTATGTAATTGAACTTTTCATGAGTCAAGCATCTAAGGTTCTTTTAATATCATTCATTTTCTCCCCATGTACCCTCATTTATTGGCAATAGTCATGACACGAGCAAAGTAATCAGAGACAGTTTCACCTTATTTCATTTCAAGAGTTTCAAACTCCTCCCTCGATGCTTGAAGAATTGAACGCTTCACCCTAGCATTTCCTTCATATTTCCTTTTCATGGAATCCCATATCTTATTTGATGTATCCTTTTTCAAGATCGTCTCCAAGATTGTTCAAACAATTGCTGGAAATAAGTAATTTTATACTTTCAGGTCCTTCAACTTCTAACTCAGTGTAACCAGTTTTCATGAGGTTCCAATATTCCTTGGAATGTAAGAAGTTCTCCATCAACATTGCCTAATGATCGTAATGTCCATCGATGGTTGCATAAAATTTTCACTCGACATAACTCTATTTCTCTCCTGTTTTAGTGTTTTTATAACACTTTGAAAGCTGGGGCTTTCTACTTCAGGCTCACTACGGGCTTTGATGCCAAAATGTTAAGAACTAAAGCACATTAATGTAAATAATTGAATCTGAATGATATGTTTTAATAACAGCGAGCAACAGTGGCTAATATAGTCTTCAACACATTTTGTAATTTAAGGACATCTCCAATGGAAGCAACTCATTTGAATTACTCCATGCATTGAAAAATGAAAAAAGTGGTCCCGAGTGTGCCATGTCAGTATTAAGCAACTCAAACACAAATTTACTCCAATGGTAAAAAACTTTAAGAAATTCAACTTTTATAATTTTTTTTCTAATCATTTATGAACCAATTTTAAATTTTTATTAAAAAGTGTAATTACACTACAATGAAAGAAAATAAATTACGAGAAAGAATACACAATAAGTAGATATTAAAAATAAAATAAAATAATAATAAATACATAGACATTATACGAAATTAATTTTCATCATTATTATTTCCGAAACGTTCCCGCAACTCTCTCCCTTCTTCAAGCAACTCATGTTGCCACTTCAGAGTCCTCCAATAATAAGAAATTGGGACTTGAATTGTTTTATAGGACAAACAACTCCCATTGAAATTGTTCTAAAACAAAACTCACTTGACTAAAAAAAAGGCTACTGATAGCGGAAAATACAAGAACTCAAATATGAAAAATATTCTTAAAAACAACGACATTTCTGATAGAGCAAGATATTATTCTAAAATAGAAAATACTAAAACAAACTTTATCTAAACAGAAAAACATTGCAAAAGACTCCTTCAGAAACTTATTTAATTTTTTATTATATTTTTCTTCCTTTTCTTTATGCAAAAAGATGTTATTCAAACACGTATTTACCTCCTATTAATATGGATCAGTCTTTTGTCGGTAGCTTTGAGATTTTACATTAATCATGTCTTTAAACAAAAAATAAAACATGTATTGAATATAGAAACCTCTCCTTAAAAAACATTTATAACCTTAATTGATTCCAAGAAAATATTTTCAAGGATAAAAATCCTTTACTTTATCTTTTATAAATATTTTAGCCCTTTTATTTACATTATTTAATTTTTTTAGTCTTACTTTTAATTTCTTTATTAACTTTATTAGTGTATTATGATCGAGATGATTTATTAAATATGAATTTGTATTTTTTCATGTAATTTTTTCTCTTTAGTCTCTCTTTTATAATATTAATAGTTATTAAATATATTTAATAACTCAAATTTAATCTTATAATTAATATAATTTTTTAAATAATTAAATTTGAACTATTAAATATATTTAATAATTATTAATATTGTAAAAGAGACTAGAAATAAAAAATTGCATGAAAGAATCTAAATCGATGAAATTAACCCCATGGATCATAATCACAGTCAACTATATAAAGGAAAGTTAATGATATACCGGAAACACCCTTGTCTTGGTGATTATTATTGATGAAAAAAAAGGAAGAAAAAGAGTCAGAGTCATATAACAGGCTTCGTTGATAGATCAGAGAGAGAGAGTGAAAGTGGAATGGCGAAAAAGGCAGTTTTGATCGGAATCAACTACCCGGGAACGAAGGCGGAGCTGAGAGGGTGCGTAAACGACGTGTGGAGAATGCAGAGGTGTCTGGTGGAGCGATACGGGTTCTCCGAAGACGACATCACCGTTTTGATCGACACGGACAGGTCGTACAAGGAGCCAACGGGAAAGAACATTCGCACGGCGCTCACCGCGCTCGTCCGATCGGCGCAGCCTGGTGACGTGCTGTTCGTGCACTACAGCGGCCACGGCACGCGCCTCCCCGCCGAGACCGGGGAGGACGACGACACTGGCTACGACGAATGCATTGTTCCCTCTGATATGAATCTCATCACTGGTTAGCCTTTTGTTTTCTGTTACTTTCTTTCTTTAACCTTTTTTTTCATCCGTTACTTTATGGTAAGCGCAATATTTTAAAGACTATAACCAATGGCTAACATCTCGATGTGGGACGTGGTTCTGACAAGCATTATTTTAACTATGTTACTGTGATCTGTTTTTTTTTTTTTTTTTTTTTTACGGGCTTTTGTTTTCTGGTTTTGTTTTGAATTAATGAATTGTTTGTTTGTGTATTTTTGGGATCTGTGTTTTGAGATGAAGAGAGAGGTGGGATGTGGGCATGATCTGGATAGTGCACGCGTGAATTGTTTGAGGAAGAGCAATCAATCTAATTAGAAACTTGAATTTACGTCGGGGTCTGAGATTATAAATATGGGATTTTGATCTTTGAAATTGATTAAAATCGATGATTTTATTGTTATTTCATTATTTGGTATCGTTTAGTAATGTTGATGGTGCTCGTAATTTCATGAATTTAATTAGGGGAGGGGTTAGAAGATGAAAAAATATGTAAGTAAACCTATTGATCAAGTAATTATAAGGCTCATTCTGGTTCAGTGGAGTCTATCTTGTACTTCTAGGGTCAATTTTCGCATTGTTAAAATAATGGTTGTCTAGTAGAAACAACATCCTTTGAATGCAAATTAATTGTTAGTTTTAAACTTTAAGATATTGTGTTGAGCATGTTCATAAATTAAAAAAATATTATATAATGAGGAGACAGCCTAATATTATCTAGAAAGCAGCAATAATATTGAAACTTAGAGAGGATTATTGCATAAGCATAATTTACTAGTTAAATTATCCGATCACAGCTACTTAGTTAACTCTAAATCTTTAATCATTTCTAAAACGTTAACCATTTGCTCACCTTAAGAATGTAATTTGTATTTACTCTCTGTATAAAGGATTTTTGTCATTGTGCTAAATAACTGAATTTTAATTATGATGATAATTCCTTTTATAGTGTATCAAAATTAAACTCTTACTACACTTTTACGTTATTTTGGAAGGTTATTATGTTTGTGGAGTTTCCCAAATTGGAGTCAAAATTTGGTGTCTTTATCAATTTGGTGTAAGGAACCGTTTTAGGTAATAAGTGAAGTAAAAAGGAAAAAAAAATGGATCTGTTTTATTAGTCAAATGGTGTTCAAAAATGATCCGTGGTTCTTTTTTCAGACTGATGCTTGTTCTGTGTTTGTTTAAGTAATTCTGGTGTTCACAGCATCTTAAGAGTTAAGTCAGAAGTAGTTGAAGATTTTTGTGTGTTCTTTTGGTAGAACTATTGTGTATGTGGGGAGTAATAAACTATCAATTTAATTTCTGTTAGTCCTAGAACTATTGTGTATGTTTGTGCAAACAGGTGATGATTTCAGGGAATTTGTTGAAAACAGATTCATGATATTTTCAGATCTATTAACTCTCACAGGAAAAACGCTTCATTAGTTCTGGTGTTGATAGCAAGTAGCAACTTAATTCAAGCATAGTACAACTGTACAAGTAATTTGGTGTTTTGTTTTAGATGGATCATTGTTGTTGCATTAGCATGTTTTTTGTGGGAAGTAACAAGCTATGTGTGTGTGTCTTTGGAAACAGACGATGATTTCAGGGACTTTGTTGATGGGGTCCCTAGAGGATGCAGGATCACAATTGTGTCTGATTCTTGCCACAGTGGTGGCCTACTTGAAGAAGCTAAGGAACAGATAGGAGAGAGCACAAAGGGAGAGGATGAACATTCTGGCTCTGGCTCTGGCTCTGGCTTTGGATTTTCTAGCTTTCTACATCGGAAGGTGGAAGATGCCATCGAGTCTCGCGGATTCCATGTCCCTTCAGCATTACGCCACCATGGTGATGAAAATGAAGATAGGGACATTGCACTTCCACATGGGGACTATGGCTATGTAAAGAATAGGTCTTTGCCCCTTTCAACTCTGATTGATATACTGAAGCAGAAAACGGGGAAAGATGACATTGATGTTGGGAAACTGAGACCAACCCTCTTTGATGTGTTTGGGGAAGATGCTAGTCCTAAAGTGAAGAAGTTCATGAATGTGATTTTAAACAAGCTCCAACAAGGAAGTGGTGAAGGTGGGGGTGGAATATTGGGGTTAGTGGGTGGTCTTGCCCAAGAGTTTCTGAAGCAAAAGCTTGATCAGAATGATGAGGGGTATGCAAAGCCTGCACTGGAGACACATGTAGAGAGTAAACATGAGGCATATGCTGGATCAAACAAACACGCCCTTCCGGATGGTGGGATTCTGATGAGTGGTTGCCAAACTGACCAAACTTCTGCAGATGCAAGCCCTTCTGGGAATGCTTCTGGTGCTTATGGGGCATTCAGCAATGCAATTCAGGCTATAATTGAGGAAAGTGGTGGTTCAATCACAAACCATGAGCTTGTTTCCAAGGCAAGAGAGAAGCTGAAGAGGGAGGGTTTCACTCAGAAGCCTGGACTCTATTGCAGTGATCACCATGTTGATGCTCCTTTTGTGTGTTGATCATATGTTCTCATGTGATGCTTTGAAAGAGAGAATAATGTGTGCTGTTTATAGTATGCTTGTGTATTGCTGTATATGTCTTTGGAAAATCAAGTTATTGTTTTCATACTTTTTTATCAGGTATGGACTATTCTTGTGTCTTGGCTGATTAGAGCATTGTGGTGACTTTGCTGCTACATAATCATTGTGCTGGGAGACCAAATTATCAGAGCAAGGCTATATTCCAAACCAAAGATTTCGGCTCTGAATACATTCCATGTACGTGAATTTATATTTATTATAAAATATGTAGTTACTTTTTGTGTGTCGTTTGAAATATAATATTTCTTTAGTGAAATTCATACTTCTTCTATCTTGATTACATACATAGATTAAAAAAATAAGTACATCATTTTTATATAATTTTAATAAAATAGTTTGCTTTTTTAATAAATACATTATTTCTAATTGTGCTAATTGAATAATTTATGAAGAGATAAATTAAAAAAAATTATTATATTAAAAAGTAAGAATATTGTTCGTTTAATGACTACTATACTAAAAAAATAGGGGTAACTTCCAATTTCAGAGAACATTCTTTGGGATATAGATTAAGTTTGATTAATGAGAATACGAATCAAGAAGATAATGTAGAACTGATTTGGATATAAGTTTTAAAATATTTTTAAGAGTTTTTCTATTAAAATTTTTTTTTATTTTTGAGTAGAAAAGTTTTTGAAAACTATTTTTTTAGTATCTATCCAAATAGGTTCACACACTACTTAGTTTGCACATGGTGGAAACTTGTAGAGTTTTTCTTCTTTTTTATCTTTTCAAGTTGTTTTCCTTCCGGGGCCTTTAATGCTCTTAAATTCATTGTTAATTTTAACTGGTCTACAATTTGCATTTCCATTAATTAGTTAATACGTCTTTGTCATTTACTTTGCTCAATTTACGTTCCCGTACTTATAATTTCTGTTAGTTTAACTGTTTTATCAATCTAATTTCTTTTTATAAATATATCGCAATCTAATACACTATCTAATATTCTTTCCATTTTACTTAAATTTTTTGTTAATTTATTTTATTAATATACTATCTCATCAAAAGACTCATTTTTTGTCCTTAACCATCCAATTTTTATCACCATTTCTATACGGTTATCATATAGTCTAAGATATTGACAATTTTCGTTACATAGTATTACACCAAATAGAATGACACTGAAGAATCAGCGAGTGTTCAAAAAAAAAAAAAATCTAGACCGATATATAAAAGAAATGTTTCTTTTAGTAATTGCTATTGATTTTCATAATTTTTTTACACCTTAATTATTAAGAATAAAAGAGAATTGGAACTTTTTAAATAACTATTCACTCTATTATTTTTTATTTTTAAGAATATTAAGAGACAGGAGGTCTTTTCTTTTCTTTTTCTTAATCACTATAAACACAATCATAATATATATATATATAGAGATCCTTTTACTCCAGGAAAGTCTACCGAGATTTACTCCGTTTAATAATTCATGTTCTACATTAAATTTCAACGATCTAACCGTTCAATTTAAAGTTCTTAATACATAGATCAAATTTGCAAATTTTTAAAAAATTTGAAAATCATTTGATACTTCATTTCATTAATTCAAATTGATGGATAATTATATAATCATTTTATACATTGATTCGAATTAATAAAATGAAGTATCAAATAATTTTTAAATTTTCTAAAAATTTGCAAATTTGATCTATACATTAAGAACTTTAAATTAAATGGTTAGATCGTTAAAATTTGATATAAAACATGAGTTATTGAACAGAATAAGTCTATGTAGACTTACTCCTAGAATAAAAAGATTCCTTCTTTTATATATATATATATACGTGGATATATAACTAGTGGATATAAAATTAAAAACAAATAGAATAGTTGGTTTAAAAAGAAGCTACTAGGGGAGCTTCCATTCAAACCATTATTTGTCACCTAACGAAGATCAGTGGTTAGCCTATGTCAGTCAATTCAATTTTGAAAACTTGTTAGGAGAGTGCTCAAATAAATCACTCTCAATTATTATCACGCCAGTATTATTTTGAGTTTAAAATAACAACAAGACTATAAAAAATAAAAAATAAAAAAGTAGAAGAAGAAGAAGAAGCATTCAACGCCACCACACACGACACAACAACTAATCAATGCAGAGAAAAAACAATTAAATACGAACGGGTTTCATCCGATTCCCTGTCTACATCATATAATCTATACTCATATATAAAAGCAGTATTTCTTTTATAACCGTTTTTCTTCTTTACAATTTATGAATAATTATATATTTAATTACTTAGAAAAAAATAATTTTAGTAATCATCATTGACCAATTTTAAATAACCATTCATATTATTATGTGTTTTTTTTTTTATTTTACTTTTAAAAATATTTAGCCTTCTCCTCTAATGATAATAATTGAAGTAAATGCATGAACGCAATTTTTTTAGTAGTGAAGAAATGGATAAATAATTTTGATTCTTATTAATATCGTAATATTTTTTACATGAAAAGAAGAGAACACATAAATAACTCCCTGTATTAAGAATAATTTTAAATCACTCTAAAATATTACTTTATTTCCTTTTATGATAAATAACTCCCTCATTAAAAGTAATTTTAAATATTTCTAAAATATTATATTATTTACTTAATGATAAATCTCAAATATATTATATTTAATCAAAACATTAAATGTTTTATTTATTCATTCAATATTTTCTTTATTAAGTAGGAGGATTAGTAAGGAAATTAAAATAAAAAAAAAGTATAACAATAGATTTAGGAGGGTATATTGGTTTAAAATTTTGTATGATTTTAAAATACTTTTTTTGAGTAAAAAAGTCCATTGGTATTCATCAGGATTTTATGTCATTTAAAAACAATACAGTGGTATTCAATCTGGATTTTCAAGATTTTTTAAAGAATCTATTAAAATCCATTGGTATTCATTTGAGATTTTTTACAACTTAAAAATAATTCATTGGTATTCAAAAATATAAGGATTTTAAAGGATTATTGTGTGAGAGGGATTTTGAAAAATTTTCTAGTGCTATCTATAAATACCAAATTCATAAAACAATCTCATCCAAACCCATCGGATTTTGAAGGATTGTTTGAAATGTCTTTTCAAGTATTTCAAGAATTTTCAAGTGAGTTTTTCATTTTTTTTTCTATGCTCCTGTCTTCTCCATTTTTTCTTTGTTAATAATATTGCACTATTGTTCATTGTTCATATATAATATTGTAATATTGTTCTCATTCCATTCCCCTATTTTGTGAAACTCTGATATGTAAATGATAGTGTCATTGACTTGCTCTATTTTACTGTTCGTTCTCTTTAATTGACTTGCTCTATTTTATTTTATTTAGTTGAATTGTTCCTTTATATAACATAAAAAAATGCTTGAAATTTCAACTTTTAAATGATAATTTTTTTATTACACACGTCAAGAAAAGGAAAAGGTGAAAGATGAAATTGATATCATGATCTCTACAATATATATATATATATATATATATATATATATTGT